TGTAGCTTCTGTGATAGTGGAGATAGTTAGGGCGAAAGAAAGGTCACCAAAACGGCCCGAAACGGAAAAAATGGTGCCTGGACGGTCACGCATGAGGGTTTCCGGAGAACGAAGAATTTAGTGACCTTGAAGGAATGCTAGAGACTACGCCTACGCATTTGAAGGGAATTGGAGTAGAGGAAGGGATCTAGAAAGGGCTCGCAAGCACTGCGTGCAAAAACCAATAGGACTTGGTGCATGATGCAGAACATGTTGCGACGCGTGCTTTGGCACGAACGGCCACCCATACTAACACAACCGAATGAAAGTCTTAAAAAATGACGTCATGGCCGAAACGTGTTTTAATAGGGCGGAAACTCGGCGGAATTCGTATAGTGACCCTTGTTCAAATGCGATTACTCACAATTTTCTGCGTGAACATATACCATACTTGGTATCATTCAAAAGGGCACTTCAGTGCGGTCAGTTTGAAACCATTGTCATTTGCGCAAAACGTACTGCACGCATCAAACGCGCTATTACGTAAAGCATAGTAAATTCATCATTTTTGGCGATAACTTTGCGAAGAGGGCATTACAATTTACTAAACTTAACAGACAGTTGTCACGTATATGGATACATGTGTCTGCCAAGTTTCATTGATGTAGGTATAAAGATCGCCGGTTTAGAGCAAGTTGAAGTTATTTCTCAATTTTCTTGAAAATGGCGAATTTGGAGGGCAATTTTCTCAAATTTGGTCAGTAATAGGGTATATAATTTGTATATGGCTGGAAAGGGCATATCTTCAAGTATCTAAATCCAAAAAAGGGTACGGGTTTGCCAAGCCATTATTGAGATAGGGCCACAGAGAGAAAGCCAATTCCCAGAACTTTAGAGGGCGCTATTTATGTTATGCAAAGCCATTGGAGCGTGAAATTTGGCATGGCTATGTGCAATTATGAGATAAAGATATTGTAAGATTTAACTACAAAACGGAATTTATATGAGAAAGTTATGGCAGTTTTAGATTATTTAGGGGTCCATTTTTTCAAGAATTTGAGAGATTTGTGACGGAGTCGGTTTCAGATTTGAATTTTGAGTACGAAGATGGCATTTTGAAGGGCAGGTTATACGTCGCAGATGAAAAGAAATCTCTTAGACTATTTAGAGGAATTTGTTAGAAGTGTGTAGGATCTAGGATAGTGGAGATAGGAAGGAAGACAGAAAGGCCTTAAAAAGGACAAGAAACGGACAAAATGGCGCATGGACGGTTATGCATGAGTGATTTCGAGAATCAAAGAATGTAGTGACCTTGATGACATGTTAGAGACTATGCCTATGAAATTTGAAAGGAAAAGGACATGAGGAAAGTACCTAACTAGGAATAACAAGCACTACGTGCAAAACGAATGCGATTTCCTGACGATAAGGAAGAAAACGAAAACAAGGAGGAGAATATTAATGCAGAATGGGGCAGAATGTGAACGAAAACAAGGCAATGACGAAGGTCGTCATTGCAAAAACCACGGGCAGATAACTTTTCTCTGTTAGAGCATAAAACAACGCACGGTACATACACTGAACTAGCGCGTGTTTGAGTGGGCGGAAATAGGGCAGGGGCATCACAGGGCGACATGGCCGAGTTCAAGCCTCGATAACTTTTTATAAATAATAATTTCGCAAGAAATTTGCTCAGGTAAAACATCAGGAATTTAAACTTCCATATCTCTTTAAAACAAAAGTAAAATTTCCACCATATTTTTTTTCTGATCGTTTTGAATAGGAACAGGGGGGCGGTAACTGGGCAGGGTACGGTACTTTTTGTTTTGTTTTGTCTTATTACATTATATTCCATTATGTTTTTGTTTGTCCAATGGACGATTACGGCGTATTTTGTTAGTCTGCATATATCTTAACAATCCAATCACAACTCACTTACATGTACAAAAATGAAACTTATAATTTCTTTTTTTAGTTAAGACAATAATGTATTTAAAAAAAAAAATATATATATATATAATTTTTTGTTTTTATCTTTCTTTTTATTCGTGTTTGTATTTAGATTGTTCATGTGGTATTTTCCACTTTTCATGTATGCTTGCCATATTGTATAATATTGTATTTATGTTTAGCGTAGGCTAGGTTTAGATCATTCCTATTTATCGTTATACTTTTATATTGTTGTTTGTTGTATTCTGTATTCTTTGTATTATTAAGCTATGTTTGTATTCTTTATTATGTATCATTATCATGACATGTACATGTGTTGTACTCAGGCGCGGATCCAGGATTTCTTAGGGGAGGGGGCCCAACTTTTTTTTTTTTTTGCTCCCGAAAATTTGAAAAACGCGCCGGTCAAAAATTCGCTCAGGGGGGGGGGGGGGGGGGGGGGGGGGGGGGGGGGGGGGGGGGGGGGTAGTAGTGCAGAAATTTTTTTTTTGATCCTCAAAAAACCCTCCCCCCCCCCCCCCACCCCCCCCCCCCCCCCCCCCCCCCCCCCCCCCCCCCCCCCCCCCCCCCCCCTTGAGCGCCCAGGGGGGGCCCAACCCCCAAAAAAGGTAAAAATCACGTGATTTTACATGATTTTTTTTCTCAAGGGGGGGGGGGGCCCGGGTCCCCGGGCCCCTCCCCCTGGATCCGCCACTGGTTGTACTCTCATACCCCAGAAGGGGGTCGAATGAGTCAATAAATTCTATTCTATTCTATTCTATTCTATTCCTGCACATGCCCCCAATTAGGCCAAATAATTAAAAAATGAAGTGTTTCTCGTCCCGCCCACCCCCTTTTGAAAAACTATTTACTAGTTCAGGAAAAGAAAAAAACACCCCCCCCCCCCCAAAAAAAAAAAAAAAAAAAAAAAACTGTGATCAACATTATTCAAGGAGAAGGGTGACGAGGATCAGGTGTGAATTGACTGAAGAAGAGCTAGAGAAGGAATTAATGAAGGCAAAGAGGAGAGGGTGGATCACGAGCTGCCAGCTTAGTGAGCTTGGAGGAATATAGATTGAGATGGACGGAGGAGGAGGAGGAGGAGGAGGATGAGGAGGAGGAGGCTGAGTATGATGTAATAGGCAGAAGGGGCTCGAGGAGGAATGGAGTCAGGCTTAAAAGATCTTACGGAAAGAGGAGAAACTGTTTAATACTACGAAATAAAAATAACATGGTTAAATCTGACATAATGAGTGGAAAGATGGCAATGGGTGGGGTCGTACCGAGGATTAAAATTCAATTCTACCCTTTGAAATAAACGCTTTACATTATGAAGCCAATGCGGTACGCCAAAATTTGGCTGTTTCAAGGAAATCATAGTCCTTTAATGATGTCAAATGATCAAGAGAGAGAGATAGAGCTAAAGAGAGAGTGAGAGGGAGAGAGAGAGAGAGAGAGAGAGAACGAGATTTAAAAGGAAAAAGCTGCTTACCGTTATATGCAGAGCGTTTTGGATCTTGAAAATATAGTTGATGCCCGTTTTTTTTTTGAGAGCCCAAACATTCATTATAGATATGGCTTTATATATTCCTATCAAAGAAAAATAACAAAACCTTCTAAAAATGTATAATGATTAATTTTCTCAACATGATTTAAAAAGTGTTCTATTTGATTTTATAGCAAGAAATATTTAACGAATACAATTCGCCCCATAAGCTTTTTTATAATTATTATTATTATTTTTTATTGATGTTTTTTGATCATTCATAGTCACATTTTTACAAACAAAATTAGGAGTAATTACAGTTTAAAAAAAAAACGCACCAGCAATAAATTATACCATAAGATAATACAATAAAAAGCTAATGTCTTAACTCAACCGCGGGGGGCTCAGCTCGGGGACCAGAATGAACAACCCGATCATACAAAAAAAAGAAACCCGACCAGGTGACCACGTGCAGACTTCAGCGAAAGGGAATAAAGACCGCTCCCCGAATTCCTGCGGCGCATTCTTTGAGCAAAAGATGGCAACAAAATATTCAGAAACTGTTATGAATCTACATAACAACTTTAAAGTTCGAACAAGGATAACAGAGACCCAATGTATATAAAATATTTTAAGAGCAGGAATAAATATGACAAGAATTTGCCAGAAGGGGTGCCAAAAAGCTTTTCAAAATTGGTTAAATTAAAATTCGATCAACAAACCATTCCAAAGTGGTGCCTTCTCACATTCACAAAATAAATGAAATAAATTGTCTTCTCTTCTTTATTACAGAATACAATTAGGGGAGTCCTTCCTGATTTTATACAAAAATGCATTCAAAGAAATAGCTTTATGAAAAACTTTGAAATAATATGAACGTAAACGAATATCTATGGTACAACAAATATTATTATTTGAATCTTATCCCAGTTTGTATCTTGTGGTACTGTGAGTTTATCAGGCCAATAATCATATCGATTTTGAGGAGAACACTGCAAAGTACAGTGAATGCATAACTTGGGATTTTTCTTGTACTCATCAACTTTGTAATTAAGGTGTCGAAAAAAAAATCATTATCCTGACCATTTGGGTTTTTCAGCACGAAATTAAAAGATCCAAGACCAATTTCTCAAATAATTTATAACCAGGAAAAGGTGGATTCAATAAATCATCAATTGATTGAATATTATGTTGATTTCAGATACTATAATAAAAGTTACTTTAGATTTTGAACGAATTTGTCTATTAAACCATAACATTTGGCAAGTGCCAATATCAGAAATGTACCAAGAACGCAATTCTGCAACATTACCCAAAAGGTTCAGAATATTTTCAGGAGCATATGATTTCCATAAAATATCTGTTTCTTCATGAAAGTTTTGAAGAAATTTTAATTCAATTGCTTTCCACATACTTTGGAAGTTCCTATCAACTAAATGTTTTACTCATGATACATTCGCCCCAATTATAGTTCGGCAAACTTAGGATGAAAGTGGAATTTGACGCCACATCTCTGTTCAGACTATAAGGATTATCCCGATAGAGGACGTCCTAGCTATAAGGCATAATCTTAGCTCGCTAGTTTAACGGAGATCGAGAGTGTGTGTACCTTGGCTATATGCCTGCGCTGCATGCAGTAGTACACTGCATTGTGTTAATACGGTAGTGAACCTTTGAAGCAAGTAGTTAGCGTAGCAGACGACTCCGAGATGGCAGAAAACGTTGAAGTTGAGAGTGAGTAAAATCAATATTGTTAGCCTGAAATGTAGAATTTTTAAAGCTGATATATCTGGAATTTTAAAGATCATATAGTCTAAGTGAAACAGATCTTGTGGGAAGTCGAAATTGCGTAGACGCTGAACAACTTTCTCCAGCCCTTCACAGATGATGCGGAGTGCAGCTAGCGCAAGCAGCCCCATCAATCTGATTGTTTGCCTGTGCATGCACGCTATGCGCGTGAGATGAAATCTACTGGCGATAGTACAAAGAAAATGAAGAATTGAAGAGAAGGTTTAGCTTATCATCCTGAGTTTTGTTGTCAGTACTGTTAAAGTTTAAAGTTAAAGAGATGTTCTGGTAAAATATTGAAATGAAACTTGATATGCTTCTATGATGTCCTATTAAAATGAGATATTTGTCTTGCCAGTGTTGTGAAATTCATTTTTGAGCATGTTGTCTGAATTGTGTCACCCTAAAAAACATTCAAGTCTTGCGACATTATGGTGGGAGGGTATAATCAAAGCTTTAAGAAAGTACTACTAGTACTACTCGAGCACAGGGGTCTACAAGTACAAGACAAAGTACATATATAGATCTATATGAAAACTGATAAAGAAATTTGGTTTAGAAAAGGAATAATTGGAGAAATTCAAAAACTAGTTTATTTATTCATTGGATCATTATTAAAGGAAACAAAATAATGACTTTTCTTTTGGTTTTGGTTTTCTACACTTGGTTATGTCCCTTACTTTTTTTTATCTTGTCAAAGCAATATACATGTAGCTAAACTGGGAGACTTCCCCTTTTTCTTTGTCTTCTCTTTTTATTGTCTTCTTTTCTTCGTCTGCTCCTTTTTCGTTGTCTTCTTTTTCTTCTTCTTCTTCTTTCCCTTCTTCTTCTTCTTCTTCTTCCTTTCTTCTACTTCTTCCTTTCTTCTACCTCTTCCTCTATCTCTTCCTCTATCTCTTCCTCTTCTTCTTCCTCTTTCTCTTCCTCTTCCTCTTCCTCTTCCTCAATATAATACCTACATTAGATAAATTTGATCTCAATTAAACTCTTTTAAGTTACTGAAGGTAAAATCTACCAACCCATTAGACGATACTTGGTAAAACAGTTTGCCGGTCAAGCATAAAGGACACTGCCCAAGCATACCTGCCAACCCTTCCAAATTATCCGGAATGTTCTGATTTTCTGGATTTTTAGTATCTAAAAGATTTTTTTTTTAAAGCCAAATTTAGCTTGTTTTATCACATGCCGCGTATTGAGCGTTCATGTATTGTGTGCGTTGAATGGCTGTACAATCGCGTTGCGTACTTTGCTTCTTTTTTTTCTCTTTTTGTTGTTGGTATTTACGGCGTATTGCCAGTTACACTGCCGCTGCTTACATGACCATGGTAAGGCAGTGCGAAAGCCTGTTACGGGTACAGATTTCTTATTTTCAAATGTTGGCAAATATGTGTATATACAGTATGATCTACAAGTAGGTGGTTTGAACTGCCAAATATGTACAGGTACAATCAATCTATTTTTTTTGTTTTTTTGTTTTTTTGTTTTTTTGTTGACAATTTAGAGCTTGTTCTTCTTGATATCCAAATGGGTTTATAATTCATGAAGTTGGATGTAGTTTGGAGGAGTTACAACTAAATTATGAATATCCCTTGTAAATTTGATGTTTTTTTTTTTTTGTAACTCAAGAATGAAAGGTAAACTGACTGAATTAGGGCATTTGTTGAATACTTTTAGATTTAAGCTTTAATATGTAACATTCTCAAGAAACATAAATCAGGGGAAAAAAATATCATATTCTTAAATTATTACAAACCTTAGTAAGGGTATGAATAAATTAGTTGTTAACTGTATGAAAACAATGAGAAAAAAAGCTATCGTCTAACCTGTTTCATAATATCTCCTAATATGATTTGCCTCTTGGTAAGTTCAGAGACTCAGAGTATTTGATTATTTGATGTCATAAAATTATTGAGGAGTTGTGAACATAAACCCACAATAGATTATGTTTTTCCCTGGTTTTTTCCCCTTCTCTTTTCTGCTTCCATTTAAAGTTGTTAGTGCAACTTGTATTTGGTGTAAATATTCATAAATGAATGATACACGCCATAAAAACTAAAACAACAACAAACAAAAGTCATGTCACTTCATACTCTGATCTGATATAAGCTACATTTATAGTTGGGATATTAATTCAGTAACTGGAAGAACTAAAATCTTACTGCGGTTGACAGCGCATGAGACAAAATAGCTTGAGCTTCATGCCCTTGTACACTGTCACCATACACGTTGGAAGTACAGTGTACTTATAATGCACTGCAATAAGGGGTGAAAGTATAGCGAAATTGCAGAACAGATGCCGTCTGACTTATGGTCCCATCACATCACGTTCAAGTGTCATCTGATACGTTTAACCTGCCAAAAGTATTTGTTCAATAACAATGCAACCATGCCAGATTAAATTTATTGAGAGTGATATTGTTGTTGAAAGATAATGTGCATGCACAAGTATCTGGAAAGTTGAATAGACGGAGTAAGGCTAGGTAAAAGTACAGGTGTTTCAGGGTTGTGTGTCTAGACTCTTGTTAGAATATTACTTGTTTTGTTTGCTGCTGGATTTCACTTAAAATCCATCAAAACGCAGCACAAAATACAATGAATAATTGCTAATTATGATATTGTCATTGTCAGTGCCGATTTACTGTTACATTTTGTTGTTGGGATAAACACCCTGTCTGGGCTAAATGCGTGGGTATATTGTGTTGTTCTCAACCTTATAAGGGGTTTAACTTAGGACCAGCGTTGATTGGTTAATTTATACCCTTGCAATATATACATGTACAAATATAGCATGAACAAGCACCTTTCTTTCCTTTTCTTATAGGCCTACTGAGAAACATTATCAGATAAACAAGATATCTGTGTTAACAAGAGACTAATCCTCACACTTTATTATGCAATGCTTATTCATTTCTCCATTTATAAAGGGAAAAAAGGTTGTTTGATCCTCTCTTCCCAATTTGTATCGCTTCTTGACAATACTTTTATACTCTGTAGTTTCTTTTTGTGTGTGTGAAAAGGTACATTGCAGAAGATAAAGACATTCTTAATAGATTTGTATCTTTTATATTCTCCTTCTGTTTGTTTGCCGGAAGTAAGGGTAAACAGTTGTGATTGATTTGAAAGGAATGGCAATTTTCCAGTTTCCTTTTCCTGAAAGTCAACACAGACACAAACAATATTATCTCATTCTCAAAGAGTGTGTCATTCCAAAGAAAGAACTTCCTTTCCATTGTCTAAACATTTGTTATCCCCCCTTTCAAGTCTCCCTTTTGAGGTATCGGCGCAGGCAATAGGCGTGACAAGGCAGTCAACACAGGGTGATAAGCTGTTGCTTTAAGGCTTGAGATAATCCTTAAACTTACTTTATGTACAATGATGTGCTTGACAGATTCACAGTGGGGTTTATTCAGGCTGGGTTACAATAAGAGAGGTATTGATTGAATGATTCAGAAGCAGAAAAAGGATTTTCACTCAATGTGTGTGCTTCTCAGGAGAGCCGTTATGGTGTTAACAACTAAGCTACAAAAGTATTATAATATAAAGCTCTCTTGTATTTAGGAAAAGATAGAGAAAAAAAGTAAGAATGGTAGTATTGTACCAGTGTTAGAAATACAACCTTACTTTCACACAAGCTCCTTTTCGAATAATTGTAGTAGAAACTGACGTAGGGAGCCTACCCTATATTCCTCTACCAGATCACTTTGGAACTTTTCTGGAACTCTTAAATTTTAGAGCTTTCCCAAACTACATTGCTCATTGATGTTATGATATTATTAGTCATATATATTTATTATTATGAAGAAGAAAAAAAATACTTGAGTTAAAAAAACAAACTTTAACAGTTGTACTTGTAGAGCATTCTATAGATAAAATGTAGAATACAGAGAGAGACAGAGAGTTAGAGAGAGAGCGAGAGAAAGAGAGAGAGAGAGAGAGAGAAGGATAGAGAGGGAAAATGAGGGGAGGGGGGGGGGGGTAATTATTTAAGAAGAAAAAAAAGATAATTGCCAGATGAGTTTCTGACAATAGACAGGGAACTCTGTTACCATCAACATTGCATTAATTAGGTTTTAGTCTTCAAGTTCCGCCAAACTTTTGTTTAATTGAATTAGTGAAGAGGATTAGGGAATAGGGATGCATTATGCAATTCTATAATTACAGCATCAGCTACATCTAGAAAAATCTAACAATAGAAAAGGTTGTATGCCAGATAATTGACTCATTAAATACGGGTCCTGCTGAAATGAATGCAGAAGTAAGTCTATATTCATGGATGAATTGTGCTTGGGTTGTTCATAATAATGATGATGAAAATAAAAAGTTTTTGTATAGTGCCAAACACATAGACATAATATTGCATGTCTCTATGCGCTTTACAGAGCAGAGCACAGAAAGGAGTGGAAATGATGCACTGGAAATGGTTCATGCATGATGAGCTGCTGCAAGTTTTTTCTTTTCTTTTGAGATAAAATAATGACAAGGCATAATCAAGGATTTTTGCCGTGAGTCTCCTTGGCCTAATTTGCATCTTGTTTCTGTATCGTGTAACACTCATAGAAGTGAGGGTTAGTGAATATACATGTATGCATAGGAGCTTTGTAGCTCACATCTACATTTTGTTTATCCCTAAAAGACCCTGAAGTACTTCCCTTTCATTTCCAAGTAAAAGAAAAAGCAACCTACTGCAGTTTTATGAATCATCTGTTTAATTATGAACCTCTGTATTCTACACTACAGCATACATTGTCTGTCTAAATTAAAAACACTGCCAGGCACAAAGTAGAAGGCCATGTAGCTGTCCTTTCTCGTCCTAAAATAAATATGAAGTTATTCAAGCTTGACATATACACCTTTAATGAAAGGCATTCCATATTTGTGCTGGTAGCACGGTAGGATTAATTACATCTTTAATCTTTATTAATGGCTGTCTTATTGATCAGGTGATG